CAGCTGATTGATGCTTCTCTCTCATCGATGTTTCTAACTCTCTATCCCTCTCCCTTCCTCTCTGTAAAAAATCAATAAAATATATTTAAAAAAACAGTTATAAGTATAAAAATATGAGCCATAGACTGCAAGAAAATATTTGCAAAGCACATGTGTATAGATCTCAGAAAACAAATAAGAAAACATCCAGTTTTTTAAAAATGGGAAAAATGTTTGAATAGACCTCTTTACCAAAGAAGATATATGGATGGCAAAAAAATATATGAAAAGTTACTCAATAGCATTAGTAATTACAGAAGTGTAATTTAAAAGCACAATGGTATACAACTAAACACCTATTAGAATGGTAAAACTAAAAGGAAAAAGAAACCATACCATTACAAAGATATGGAGTAATTAGAACTCACATTGCAAGTTAAGAATGCAAAGTGGTATGTGTGTTTAAGAAAGCATTTGATGATTTATTATAAAGTTAAACATGCACTCACCATACAACTTAGCAATCCAAGTAAATTAAAACAGGTTCACATAGAACCCTAGTATGAGAATATTCATAGCAGCCTTAGTCATAATCATTCCACATTGGGAACAGCCACATCATTTTCAGTTGGTGAATGGCCGAACAACCATGGTGCATCCATATAATGGGATAATGCTCTGCAATATAAAGGAATGAGTGTCTAATCTTGCAAGGACAGGAGAGAAGCTCAAATGCATTATACTATGTGAAATAACTTGTACTCAGGCTGTGATCCCATTATGACATTCTGGAAAAGAAACATTATAGGGGTAGAAAACACATCAATGGTTAGCTGGTTGGGAAGGTGGTTGGGGGATGGGAATAGGGAGGGTTGATTACAAAGTAGCATGAGGGAATGTTAGAAGTAATGGAACTTTTCTGTGTCTTTACTGTGGTGATAATTACATGGTTAGTATTTGTATTGATCAAACCTCATTCAGCTGTGTACTTACAAGGGTGAGTTTTACTATATATAAGTTATATATGGTAACTTTAACTAACAGAAATCATTTCTGTGATTAATAACAGTTTATCACAAGAGAGAATAGATCAGTGAACCTGAGGTGAGGACAATAGAAACCAACCAGATGATTTGAAAGAAAAATTTTTAAAAGAGAGAGTGAGAGGGAAAGACTTATAACCTAGGGAATAACTAGCAGTCAAATATGCATATTAATGGAGTTTCAGAAACAGAGGAGAAATAACGTATAGACAATTACTTGAATAAGTAATTATCCACATTTGATCCCAAACAACCACCCCATAAGTCCAGGAAATTCAGTGACCCTAGCAGGATAAATAAATTCTAAAGAACCCCCCGCTGAAGTTAACATATCATGGTAAAACTTCTGAAAACAAAAAAGAAAAAACAGCCAGTGAGCGGGGGACCCCAACATATTACATTTACCACCCCCTCTAAGTAAGAATGACAGCTGACATCACTTAAGGAACTGGTGAGACTAGAAGACAGTAACGTCTAAAGTGCTGAAAGAAAAGTAAAACAGGAAACCTAGAAATCTCTGACTAGGAAAACTTGTATTTAACATTTTTAAATTTATTTTTTATTTACAGTTGACATTCAATATTACATTAGTTTCAGGAGTACCACATCGTGGTTAGACATTTATATCAGTGATCAACCCCAATAAGTCTTGGTCTCCACCCACCTGGCACCATACATAGTTATTACAATCCTAGAGGCTGGGTGCACAAATTTGTGCACGAATTTATGCGAGGTGGGGTCCAGCAGGCCCACCCCGATTGGGGCCAATCGGGCGGGAGGGGCTGGGGAGAGGAGGAATCCTCGGGCCAAGGCCAGCCCCACCCCATTTGAACTCCTGGTCAAGGGGACAATTTGCATATTAGCCTTTTATTATATAGGATTACTGGCTATATTCCCTATGCTGTACTTTACATCCATGTGACTGTTTTGTAACTGCCAATTTGTACTTAATTCCTTCACCTTTTAAGGAGAACTCTTTTAAAACTGAAGGTGAAATAAAAACTTTTAAGATAAACTAAATTTAAGAGGATTGTCACCACCCTACCTGCACTAATTTAAGAATTGCTTAAGGAAGTTCTTTAGGCTGAGGGAACAGACAGCTTCTGGTTTATTCTCATCAGGTGTTCTCTGTACTTACTGCCAGCCAGTGTTTTTTATTTTTTTCCAAATTCTGCCAAACCAATTAGTGGATTCTGAAATCAATCAAGAAGCTCAGGACCAGCATTTTTCTTCTTGAGAAGTAGAGTACAATGGGAAATACCAGGATACACTAGCATGAAGTCTAAGTATTAACTTTTAACTTTATGTCAGGCCTGTAGGATTACATACTGGTTTACGAAGGAAAATGTAGTTTTTGGTTTCTGGGTTGGAATCCAAAATGTATGGAAACACTGCCCTGACTCCTTGGCCTTTCTGTGTCTTGAACATCCCAGTTCTTATATGTTGTCAGTCCCTGAGAACCTTCTCTCTGCATCTCTGCAGAGCCAGCTGCTTTCCAGCTTTCACATTTGAGCTGAAGCATTTTCTCATCACAAGGTGATGAAGCTTTTTCTCATCACAAGAGCCTCTACTAGGAGCCTTTGTACAGAAGCAGGGCACTGGACTCAGTGTCAGCCTGAAATTGTAACAGAGCCCTAGGGCCAAAGAGCATCCAAAGGCTGTGTTTGAACTTACTAGGAAATTGTCCCTGGGAGGCACACCTTTCTCAAAACTTGTCAATAATGGGGCGAAATGTAGGAAAGCCAATAAACCTAATGACACCTCTTCTAGGTGGGAAAAGATGGTTGGATTGCGTGAAATCTATTTACCTGGAATTAAAATGCAGGAATAAAGTTTTTAAAAGAAGATGAACATCCTGCCTTCCATTCCTGGCCTCTTTGTTCACAGTGGAAATGGCGACCTTGCACTCGGTTTTCTCTCCTAGGCTAAAACAGCTTTTCATTAATTCTGAAATTTCTTCACTTTTCAGTGGTCAAATGTCCATATCCATCGCTCCCTGATGGAACTATTGTGTCAGGATTTGGGAAAAAATATTACTACAAAGCAGAAGTTGAGTTTGAATGCAACCAGGGTTATTCCCTTGAAGGCAGCCGCAAAATTGTCTGTGAAGCTAATAGTACCTGGGTACCCGAGATTCCTCGCTGTGTTAAAGGTACAAAGAGTGTCTTCTACTTTCTTGTTTTTGTTTAGATTTTATTTCTTTGAAATATAAATGATAGAGTAATTGAAGTGATGGACTTTATTTAAATTCAAAATTATAACACTTTTACTTTAAAACATAGGACATATTCATGACTTGGCCAAAGATTTCTTAAATACAAAAGCATGATCCTTTAAAGAAAAAAAAAAGATGTTAATAAATTTGACTTCTTAATAATCAAAGCTTCTGCTCTCAAAAGACATTGTTATAAGAATTTTTAAAAAGGAGCCAAATCCCTGGCCATTATGGTTCTGTTGGTTGGAGCTTCGTCTTGTGCACCATAGGGTTGCCGGTACCGAAGGCAACTGATCAGTGTTTCTCTCTCACGATGATGTTTCTCTCTCTCTTTCTCTCTTTTCCTGTATTTAAGCATGTCCTCAGATGAAGCACAATGCAATACCACTAAACACCTAGCAGGATGGCTGGAAAAACAAGAAAAAAACTTAGCTTATACTGGCTTGGATATGGAGCAATTGAAACTCTCATATGTAGCTGTTAAGAATGCGGCGTTATGCCTATTTTTGAACAGTTTTGCAATTTCTTATAAAGTTAAACATATACTTCCATACAACTCAGCAATCCAAGTAAATTAAAACACGTTCACATAGGAACCTATGTGGAAATATTCATAGCAGCCTTAGTTACAATCACCCCACATTGGAAATAGCCACATATTTTTCAGTTGATGAATGAGTGAACAACCATGGGGCATCTATATAATGGGATAATACTCTGCAATAAAGAGGAATAAGCTTCTAATCCACACCATGACCCAAACGAATCTCAAATGCATTATGCTAAGTTTAATAAGCCATACTCAGAGGCTCTGATCCCATTCTGACACTCTGGAAAAGAAACACAATTACCCAGACAACTAACAAGAAAAAGATTCCCTGGAAATTTTTCAAAGCTTGGAATCAGAACAACTTCTCCTGCAGATCCTGTTAATACTTCAGCTTCGATTATGTTAGGTTGCAAACTTTTTTTTTTTTTTTTTGCAGGATACAGAAGAGTTTATTCAAAGTCCAGTACAGACTAGCCAGACTGCCTTCTACAATGTGAACAGAAAGCCTGCGGCGGAGGCAAGAGTTGTTATAAAATTGCTTTAATTCAGTTTTCTCAACATTACAAGCCGTAAGGCAGGCAGTGGAATGTGCCACGCTCCACCTTACAATACTGAGCCTGTAATTGCTGGTATCAAAATATACATCTGTGTCACCATAAAAAACTGCATTTGCTGCCCCTCATGTCTTACAACAGGTATAAAAAATTATAATTTGTTATAAATATTTAATCCCTCGTCCCCACCCCAACATGAACACTTGGGGTCCAGGTCCCAGGAAGAGGGGCCAGCCAAGAGCCTGAGGCTGACACCCTATCTCCGAAAGGTGAGCAAGGTGAATTAGGTTTAATTTTTTAAAAAACAGGTAAACTGATTTTCTCTTTAAAAAAATAAAATCTCTGGTCTTTTTAAGGTCACTTCAGCTGCTTTTTAAAGTGGCTATTTTCTGGAATGATGGAAGTTGTTGCCGGAACTACCTGGCAGGCTGGTCCTTGGTGGGGAGCCTAGATAGTGGACTTGGAGAAGGACACCCGCAGGTGGTGGTTCTCTCCCGGGTCGTGGTTGTGCAGGTCGATGAGTGCCTGGATGGCCTCCTCCACTGAACCCATCTGAATCGGTGCCATCTTGCGATCCTTCTGGAAGAACTTGAACCCTTTGACAATTCCGCCATTGCTGGTGAAGAGTATCTTGTGGTCGTCCTCAGATATGGAGGGCGGAATGTTGGAAAGGTGCAGGGTGGCCGAGGGTGGGAAGATGTTCTGGAAGTTCTTAGAGCCAGGCTTCTTGAAGCGGTGCAGGGGCGAGTTCCCGTAGTCTTTGGTGAGGCCCTGGTCCTCCTGGCCCTCACGGGGCAGCTGTACGTTTTGGTGCTTGGAGAGGGTGATGCGCACAGGCTTTCCATGCAGCTTATGTCCGTTAAGGTGGCTCATGGCCAGCTGGGCCTGGCTCCCATCTGCCATCTGTACCAAGGCATTCTCCTTCTTATTGAACAAAATCTTCACCCGTTGCACATCGCCATACACGCCGAAAAGAATAAAGAGGCTTTGGGGTGTGACTCTCTCAGGGTTGAGGTTGCTGACCAGCAGAACAGAATTTCCAGCCCCCCTCCTAGGCCTGGGATAGCGATCCGGCCAGCTGCCGCCGCCGCTGCTGCCACTGATGGGATGGCCAGAGGGACCAGGGCCCCGTGCACATTGGGAACAGAGAGGCCTGCAGCTTGAGGAATGGCAAAAGTGGGAGGGAAACCAGCTCCTGCATACGGAGAGGCTGACATTATACCAGGTGCACCAAAGGCTGCAGCCACGGTCTGGTCCAGTGAGGGTTGGCTGTCACCAGAGGGCAGGTCAGGACAGGTGTAGTCTCGGCTCTTGTCATTGTTGTACTTGACGTTGAGGCCGGTGAGCTTAGAAAAGTCGATGCGAGTGTACAGCAAGCGTTGTAGATGTTCTGCCCATCCAGCGACAGCTTAGCATGCTGGGCGCTCACGGGTTCGGCATACTGCAGCAGTGCCTGGAACTGGTTGTTCTTGGTGAAAGTGATAATCTTCAGAACTGTGCCAAACTTGGAGAAGATCTGTCAGAAAAGGAAGAACAGTCAACCTCTGCCCAGGGTCTGGGTGGAAAATGGGGGCACATGGACTCCACCTCACCTGGTGAAGCACGTCCAAGGTGACTGGGTAGAAGAGGTTTTCCACGATGATCCTGAGCACTGGACTCTGGCCAGCCATCGCCATCCCAGCATCCACGGCAGCAGCTGAGGCAGCCGGTGACAGGTTCCCCGTATGAACTGAGTTCACTGCCTGCAAGGCCGCCTGGGCCCGTGCCTGGTTGAGTGAGCTGTCGGTCTTAAGTTCCTTATGGTTGGAGAACTGGATGTAGGTGGGCTGGCACGAGCACAGGTGTCACCGAGGTGTAATAGTTCACCATAGTGTTGGCTGCCTCCTCTGTGCTCATCTCAATGAAGGCCTGGTTTTTCCCTTTCAGCATCAAGAGGTTGGTGACCTTCCCAAAAGGCAGTCCCAGGGAAATGACCTCGTCCTCGGTAACATCACTGGGAAGCTTCCGGATATGGATCGCTCTGGAGGGCACACCTGTACTTCTGTTGTCACCTTTGAACTTTTTTGCTGTCATTTCCGTTTGCTGCAGAGGCTGAGTTGCTGCTCATGATAAAGGGTCCGTTAGTGACACAGGCAGAGAAGAGCTCGTCCGATCCCCGCTGTGTACCAACTGCTATGTCTGGGACAATGCCGTCCATTGCACACAGAAGAGACCCGCAAAAGACGGAGTGGAGGCGCCGGAATAGCCAGGTTGCAAACTTTTGATAATAAATCTAGTACCATTAAAAGACCCCATTTACTATTAAGATTTCTCAGTAGCATGATGATTGCACCTACTTTCAATTTTAATTTATAACATGGCATTCCCGAAGGAGTAATACTATTAAGAAATTCGATGGGTCGTAACCGGTTTGGCTCAGTGGATAGAGCGTCGGCCTGCGGATTGAAGGGTCCCAGGTTTGATTCCAGTCAAGGGCATGTACCTTGGTTGCGGGCACATCCCCAGTAGGAGGTGTGCAGGAGGCAGCTGATCGATGTTTCTCTCTCATCAATGTTTCTAACTCTCTATCTCTCTCCCTTCCTCTCTGTAAAAAATCAATAAAATATATTTTAAAAAAAAGAAATTCGATGGGAAAATTTTCCTTTCAGCATCATCTGTTGAGTCAATAGAATCATCACTCAAATAGGTGTGAAAATCTCCATCAAGTATATCCAAAATTTCTTAATTTATGAACGTGCTCATTTTTTGGACAAAGAAATTCATGATCGACAATGACAGATCGAAACGCATGTGATTGGCACCAGTGAGAGCTTTATGTGTATTGCGCATGTGCAAGTCAATGTTTATTTTTAAATTGCCAGTGTGCGTCATATGTACCAGCCGGTCAGACTGACAGACGGATGGATGGTTGGTCACTTAGCCTTTTATATATTTAGATGGCCAATAAACACATGAAAAGATGCTAAATATATTTATTCATTTGGGAAATGGAAATGAAACTCACTTCACTTCCTAGGATGGCTTTAATAATGTTTTAAAGTGAAAATGTAGAGAAATTGGAATGCTAGTATATTGCTGGTGGGAATGCAAAATTGTGCAGCCACTGCAAAAATGGTAAAATACCTGCATTATAAACTATTTTGCAGCAATCAAAACAACTTAATTAAATCCTATATCCAATCTCTGGGATGGATGTGAAATTAATTCAGAAAACAATTTGCAGAGAAGTATGTAGAGTTTGTTCTCAATTGGAAAAATAATAAATTTGGATGAGGTATTCTATATGCATATGTGTTTGAATAAACTTGGAAAAGGTAGAGTTACCTGAGATGGGCTGAAAGTGACAAAAAATAGATGGTATTCTAAGTGAATACATATATTCTAAAATGATGTTGTTAAATTACTGAAAACAAACTGAAATATTTATAAAGTCAAGGAGCAAGTGTTACCTGGACAAATAAAATATAGATTATTTTGAGCAAAACCTAGTAAACTTTTTCTGTCAAGAGACTGATAATAATGAACATAGGGGTACATGTACCTTTACAAATACCTGTTTTCAAATTTTTCTGGTAGATATCCTGAGGAAGGATTGCTGGGTCATATGGTAGTTCTTTTTTTTTTAAAATATATTTTATTGATTTTTTACAGAGAGGAAGGGAGAGGGATAGAGAGTTAGAAACATCAGTGAGAGAGAAACATTGATCAGCTGCCTCCTGCATGCCCCCTACTGGGGATGTGCCCGCAACCAAGGTACATGCCCTTGACCGGAATCGAACCTGGGACCCTTGAGTCCGCAGGCTGACGCTCTCTCCACTGAGCCAAACCAGTTAGGGCTTCTATTCTTAATTCTTTGAGGAACCTCCGTATTGTTTTCCATAGTGGCTGCACCAACTTCCATTTCCATCAGCAGTGTCCAAGGGTTCTCTTTTCTCCACATCCTCTCCAACACTTGTCTTACTAATAGGTTTCAGGTGGTGAGCACACAATAGAGTATACAAGAAGTCATAAAGTTGTACACCTGAAATTTATATGCTATTAACCTCTGTTACCCCAATAAGTTTTTTTAAAAAGCAACATATAGTAAATATAGGAGTGAGCATAAGTAGGTTTACAGTTCATATGTAAAAAGACATGCAGGTTATGATGATTACAATAGCTTTATTAAATGAAAACAATGTCACAATGGCACAGTGCATTTAGTTACAATCTCATCAGTGCTCAAATTGCCTTCATTAATAATAATTCAAGAATAAACTTGGGTGCTCACAAGTGTAAACCTCCTTTTGCCTATGCCTGAATTTTCAGCTTTGTGCGCCATACAATCTGCGTTGTAACTACTCAACTCTGCAATTGCAGTGGGAAGTAGCCCTAGACAACAAATGAATGTGTGACTGTGTTTCAATATATCTTATTTACAAATACAGGCTGCAGGATTTATTGGGCATGAGAACTTACTTTGCCATCCCCTGGTTAGAAGAATTTTTCACAGTCAGAGAAGTCTTAAAAAGAAATAAAAACATACATTGGTAAAATAAAAATAATTGAAAACTTTATATTGGGCAAGTAAAGATACAAAAAATAAGACGTAGAGAAATAAGGATGTTTTGGGACAAGTGTGTTGAACTTTGTACCTTACAGAGAATGTATACTTTCTCTCTAGGAACCATTTATAGAAGTTGATATATCACTCCACAGATTGTAGGTCAATACATATGAACATAGGAGAAATCAAAACAGCTATAAACTCTCATTATAATACAGTAACACTAGAAATTAATAACTAAAGAACAAATTAAAAATACAAATAAAGAATAAAAATTATATTTAAGAGATTATTTGATGTTGTGGAGATGTTAGATATCTCTGAATTAGTGTGCAGATTTAATACAATTTCAATCAGAGGTCCAACGGCATTGTTTTTAAGTTTAACAACATAATTGTAAATGTTATGCGATTACAAAACAGAAGTGCTGTTAATATTTATTTAAAAGAATAAAATAATTGACATAATGCAGGAATAGAGATATAGACCCATAGAACAAAACACAGAGCCCAAGAAAAAGCACAAGTTTGGGTAAGATTTCGGCCGCAATAAACATGACATTTCAAGTCATGGAAAACTGGAATTATGCAAATAAGAAGGCAACTAACTGAAAAAGGAAATTAGATCCCTGCCTCATGTCATTCACCAAAGCCAAGCCCATGTGGACGAAAGGTTAATGTTACAAATAAAAAACGAAGTGAACATATAGACCAACATATTTCTAACTGGAGACCTCGATAAGCCTATAAGCAGTGCACCAGCATTTCCCTCAAACCTGGGCAGGTGGAGAATGGTCAGCCTGACAGGGGTCAGGGGCAGAGCCCCAGCTGCCAGCAGACCCCCAGGTTAGAGCGCGGCCAGGCCACGCCCCGTTCCCTGGGGCTAAGGCTCCGCCCAGGGCCGAGGCCCCGCCCAGCGGCCCG